ACTGAAACAGGTCTAACTGGAGCCAAGCCTTGTGATATTCCTATGGTTCCTAATGTAAAATTGAATGCTGAGGATGGAGAGGTGTTTGATGATCTAGAGTGAATATAGACGAATAGTTGGGAAGTTGAATTATCTTACAGTAACTCGTCCAGATATTACTTTCTCAGTGAGTATGGTAAATCAGTTTATGTCATCTTTTAGGACACCTCATTGGATGCGGTTTTTCATGTTTTGAAATATCTTGAGGGGCTCCTAGACGTGGGATCATTTATAGTAATCATGACCACAGTAAAATAGAAGGATTTTCAGATGCAGATTGGACAAGATCATCTATAGACAGACGTTCTATGACTAGATTTTGTGTTTTTGTTGGAGGAAATCTTATTTCTTGGAAAAGTAAGAACAACCTGTTGTAGCTAGATCAAGTGTAGAATCTGAGTACGTAGCTATGACACAAGTAACTTATGAGCTTATATGGACAAGATATTTCCTTGGAGAAGTTGGAATTGGTGATCCAAGGATTATGGACTTGTGGTGTGATAACCAAACAGTCATACATATAGCCAACAATCTAGTTTTTCATGAGCGGACAAAGCATATAGAAGTCGATTGTCATTTTGTGCGAGTGAAACTTGAACATAAATTAATTTCCACTAAGCATGTTAGAATAGGAAACTATCTGATTTCTTTACTAAATCTCTAGTTGGAAAAAGGGCAACTTATATTTGTAACAAGCTGTGCATGATAAATATATATGCTCCAGCTTGAGGGAGAGTGATAGAAATTATGTGTATAGAGTTAGGGGTATATATGTAAATGTAAGGTAGTGAAAATATATATAGGGTGTAATATTATTTTATTATATTATTGAATAAACTACAATAGAATATTTTATCACATTATATAAACTCATAGAATTCCGAATAAGGCCATGAAACAGGAAGGAATGCTTTTTCTACTAAAAGCAACAAGTCAACATGTCTTCTTTTCAATAAGATAATAGTCTTTAGTCAGTGTACTCATCAGTACATCAAGATTGGCAGGTGTTCATGCATGCTTTAATTTGGGAGCTGTCAAGGTTTTAAAAATTTTCTGGTTAACATCAGTGGCCGGCTGTGAAGGTTTACAGCTCTTAATCAGGGTCAAAACACAAGGCATATGGTGTCTTATTCTACGACTTACTGCAGGACTGAGTTCATTTTATAAGACAAACTCTGGAGACTGATGGAATATTCAGCTGAATCCACAATCAAAACAACTTGCTTTCTGTCTAAAGTCTCTTGGATGGATGGTCAACTCTTTATTGAAGAGTTGTAAAACAGAATGAGTGCTCAAGTTTAAGCAGGTTAAGCAGCAATAACTACTCTTTAGTAAGTTTGTGATTTATAGACTTCTAAAAATTCTTCTGTAATAAGCCTTTCAATATGGTCAAGATATTAATCGTTTGACAGAAATCTTCATTCTGTGAAAAATCAAATTTTGCTACAATCCCCGATTTCTATGAATTGTCAAAGATGCATATACATTTATAATATATCAGTTGGTTAAGGAAAAGAAATGACAAGTAGTCAAATAGAGTCAAAGTCAGCATGAGTTAAGAAAGAGGTAAGCCATGATGCAACAAAAGAATCTGAAAAGGCATGAGGAACTTACACATATTTAGGAAATGGAACATCACTTCATATCCTAGAAAATTCTCTGCAATTACTCATGAGATCCTGCCAGTTGTCACTTTCCTGGAAAAAATATATAATATAAGAGGTAATATTCACCTACTCTGATATGACTTAATTGTTTAATCAATGATTCCAATTTCTTGGACAGGTAAATGATATTCCTTCTCTTTTCCTTGCGATTACTAAGTATTGAACAAAGCCTACCAGTCATCAAACGTTAGAATCACTGAAGAACTAATGATGTCAACAGGTATCTAAAGTATTGGATAATACTACGCTCACAAACTCTTCTTACTAACTTTCTTTCACAAACGTAACGTGACAGTTTGTAGTAGGTCCCAACTGATCAATTGAGAATTGTCACGTCGTGTTTGTGAGAGAAAGTTAGTAAGAATGGTTTATTGGCTTATCTTTATTGCTAAAGTATTGTTTTACTAGAAAGGAGAAAGAAAAAGCAGTGGAATTGAGTAAGAAAGCTACAGAAAACCAAAACGGAAAATGCTACCTAATAGCTATAGTCTTATAGATTAGTCAACTTCTAAACTATCCTTGACGTAGCATTGCTAGAATCTTACCCCCAAGCAGTGAGGAAGATGCTGCTTCATGACTGATGTTGTTTCCAAGGAGAGCCGGAGTAATTCTTTTCTCGATTTCTTATTTTAATCGTTCCTGGACTTACACGGCATGTTGTTTGAACCATCCAGTTGTTTTCTCTTTAAATAAAATAATTCCTCAGGTTCCTCAGAATTTCATAATAATAAAATATAGATATTGTAGAGCAGATATCATCATCAAGTTCAACCATTCACCAATAGAAGGTCAACTGTGATTAAACTTATGAAACTGTTGAAAACTCCTTGTTTAACATGCATACAGTTTGCAATTTTTCTCCCATAAACAAGAATGAGCCGCCTTCTACTCCGGATCTCCGTTTGGTCTTTGATCATTCTATCAATCGGGGAGTTGTTATTTGCAGCTGATACAATAACTGCAGGCCAATCTATCAGAGATGGTACTGACACATTAATTTCCTCATTCCAAAGCTTTGAGCTAGGCTTCTTCTCTCCAGGCAACTCAAACAACCGGTACCTCGGAATATGGTACAAGATTAGTCCTGGGACAGTTGTGTGGGTTGCAAACAGAAACAATCCAATCACTGATAAGAATGGAGTTTTAACAGTGAACAATGATGGAAACCTTGTACTTCTCAATGGAGAAAAGAGCATTATTTGGTCTTCAAATTCATCAAGTGTGCCAGAATATCTAGTGGTACAGCTCCTAGATTCTGGAAACCTTGTTCTTAGGGAAAATACTGACACGAGTTCTGGAAGTTATGCGTGGCAGAGCTTCCATTAGATACATTGTTATCAGGCATGAAGTTGGGATGGAACTTAAGAACTGGATTTGAGCGATATCTAACATCCTGGAGAAGTGCTGATGATCCATCCCCTGGAGACTCAACTTACAGACTTGATATTACTGAGTTACCTCAATTGATTCTTCGAACGGGATCAAAAAAAGTGGCCCGCAGTGGACAATGGAATGGATACAGATTTTGTGGCATTCCCCTGATTCAGAACTCGATATTTATACCGAGATTGGTGGCTAACCAAGATGAGTTGTATTTTACGTATAACCCATTCAATACTACAGTTGTCACGTGTTTAGTATTGGATCGATCAGGAACCATACATCATTATGTTTGGCATGAGGGGAGAAATGAATGGTGTGTCATGTACTCTTGGCCATTTAATCTATGCGACAATTATGAAGAGTGCGGTGTTAATGGCAACTGCAGAATTAGTAAGACACCTATTTGTGGGTGTTTGAAAGGGTATGTGCCCAAATCTCAAGATGAATGGAATACACCTCAAACAACGGAGTGCATAAAGAAATTGCCATCAGATTGCCCAAGGGGAGAAGGGTTTCTGAAGCTTCCGCGAATGAAACTGCCTGACATAGATTGGTATAACGAAAGTATGAATCTCAAAGAATGTAAAACAGCATGTACCAAGAACTGTTCATGCAGGGCTTACGCGAATTCCAATCTAACTAGGGGAGGTACAGGCTGTTTGATGTGGTTCAAGGACCTGACAGATATGGAAGAGTGCTCAAAACAATACACCTGGGGACAAGATATTTTTCTTCGAGTTCCAGCATCTGAACTAGGTATGTGTGTTATTTGATGTACTACTGGCTCATTCATTTTTAAGGCTATTTGAGAATTCGTCACCCCAGCTGATTCTCTATAGCCAATAATTTGTGTTAAAGGAATCTAGGATTAGGGTTTCTGTGGCAAAATCTACAAAAATAAATAAATAAATAGAAATTAGTAATCTGAACAATTAACTAACAACAATAAAGCTAAAGCAATCTACTTGACCTGTGGCTTTAGTCCACCTTGCAGGAAAACCAAGCATGGAAATGTTGTCCTCTTTGTTTACTTCCTTTCCCTTTTGATGTCTTAGACTGAAAAAGAATTAGTATCTTCTCATTAATCAGAGTTGCAAGTGCACAATCAAGAAAGAAGATGTTTGCTTTGAAAGATCTTTATGTTCATAACATGAATAAATCCTTCTTCCAGCATTTCAACATTCTTTTGCAGATCTATGAAAAGAGAAACTTCCTTTCTTCTTCATCTTTGGCTTTTTCATCGTTTATCAGCTAAATTACCATTGGAAGCTTCTTCCACAAGTTCACCAGGATTTATCCATCATAGGGAGATGTTTGATTAATCATCTCAAAGGTTTGAGCTATGCTCCTCTCCCTTAAACTCCAACAGGCATCAGCCAAAATGGTACAATAAGATCCCTGAGAAAGTTGAGTAGGCTAAAAATATAAACTACCCCATCATTGATCCACATGGAGTCCAAACATTAGCAAAGGGCACTAGCTAGTCTTGAACATGCCCAGAGAATTATAAAATCCAGTTCAACTCTTAGACAAGTAGGAAAGCTTTTTCATATACATGATTTTAGCATCCAAAAGTTATATGTGGCTGAGCTTTGACTAGACACTTACCAGGCTTGACATTTAATGTCATGGAGAAAAAATATTGATCCATTGACCGTTCCCTGGGGACTTTACTTTCAGATTTGATGTTCATGTATTATGTCGAATGTCCATATACATGGGACAAATGAAAATGGCTGAAGTAGAAACTATAATACAGTTTACTGCGAGGGCATTCCTGCAAAAAGAAATAAGCCTGATAAATCAACCAGATGAAAGGTAATTTTTTACAAATTTATTTTCTTTATGTCGCTGTTGTTGAGTCAGATAATGAAAAGAAAAGAAAGATAACTATCCTTGTCGTTTCGCTTGTTTCTGGATTGTTGCTCTTGGGCCTAGTACTCTTCAAACTTTGGAAGAAAACAAAGAAAAGAGGTAACAGTATTCATCCAATCTTACCAAAAACAAAGAACATAATATAATATGGCGGAGATATTATGTATTGATAGTCAGTTTTTCTTTCTGTAACCCATTGAACAAGCCATGAAAACAGTGAGGAGATTGAGGTACCTCTAGTTGAACTCTCTACTGTTATGACTGCTACAAAAAATTTCTCTGAGGAAGACTTTATTGGAGTTGGTGGCTTTGACAGCGTTTACAAGGTAAAAACTATTTATATTTTTTCCAATGTCGGCTGAAAGGTTTCTTCTCCTTTCAAGAATCTAGGGATTTTTTTTTTTTTTTTAATGTCATTAATCTTCTGTATAAATATAAGCAGGGCATTCTTTCTAATGGAGAAGAAATAGCAGTCAAAAGGTTGTCAAAGAATTCTAGGCAGGGAGGCGAAGAGTTTAGGAATGAAGCAACTTTAATTGCCAAACTTCAATACAAGAATCTTGTAGCATTTTTGGGATGCTGTAGTCAAGGAGAAGAAAGGCTTTTGATCTATGAGTACATGCCTAATAAAAGCTTGAATTATTTTATCTTCGGTTAGAGCCTCTTTGACCATTAAGCATCTAGTTCGTCAGATAAATTTTGATTACTCAGGCTTAATATGATATTAAGACTTCCTGTTTTCTGAAACCATAATGTAAAAAATCTAAATATGACATTAACTTGATGTGCAGATCCGAAGAAAAGAGAATTATTGACATGGCCAAAGCAGTTTGAGATAGTTATGGGGATTGCAAGAGGACTTGTCTATCTCCATCAAGATTCTAAACTTCAAATTATTCACAGACATCTCAAAGCAAGTAATATTTTACTAGACAAATATCTAAACCCTAAAATCTCAGACTTTGGCTTGGCAAGAATCTTCAGAGATGATGTTGAAGATGCAAAAACAGAGTCATGGGAACATTGCAAGTTCTATCAACTATTAACATATGTATGTTAGTGAAATGGTTTATAATTAATACTTCTTTATGCAGTGGCAATATGTCACCTAAGTATGCAACCAATGGAACCTTTTCAGCAAAATGTGATGTTTTTAGTTTTGGTGTACTTCTGCTAGAGATAGTAAGTGGCCAAAAGAATAGAGGGTTCTCTTACCCAGCTCACCATCACAACCTCCTAGGACATGTAAGTAGAAACATGTAAGAAAAAAAAAAAATATATATATATATATATATCCTCTCTCTGGCTATGACTCATTTCTGTGCGTATGGGATGTGGGTTTACAATTGTGCAGGCATGGTTGCTTTGGAATTACACCAAGGCCTTAGAACTTATGGATTCATGTTTGGAGGATTCATGTGTTAAATCTAAAGTACTACGATGCATTCAGGTGGGTTTATTATGTGTTCAAAAGTTTCCAGAGGACAGACCAGACATATCATCTGCAGCTTTCATGTTGGCAAACGAGGGAGCAACATTGCCTCAACCGAAACAGCCTGGTTTCTTCATTGAAAGAAGTACTGCTGATACAGAACCATTATCAAGACAAGAAGAATCACACACTGAAAATGTGGTAACCATAACTATGATGGTAGGTAGATAAATAATTCATGCTATGCCCATCATGAAAATATACTGTAGAATACTCATGTAAATCATAGACGATTACAATCTAAAAGTTGTACATATGTTTTAGGAGTTAAATTAATATCAGTTTAGTTTTTATTTAACTTTTTTATTCAAATATTTGTTATCTTAGTATAATTGTATGTAAATACTACACTAATGAGAGGAAAACTAGTTGAACAATTTCTAAATTAGAGTCTCATTTTGAAAAGTGATCAAAACATCCATACACTTCTATCATTTATCTGATATATTAATGTCTACAGAAGATAAATTATCAGTTGTTAATCCATGCAATGCTAAACCCCACCTGACATTTTCAAGGTATTTGTTTTTATATACCCCCAACATTTTTAAAGGTAATTGCTTTCATAAATTCAACATCCCAATTAAGTGGGTGATCCCCTAGCTATAGGCAAACGACTAGTTCAATGCTATAGAACTGATGCGATTTTCATAATGGCCTCATATAGAGCTTAAGAATAATTTAACCGCTTTTGAAGTCTATCTGTTTAAAATTCAGTTAAAAATGCCATTATTCTCTGAAAGAATACAAATTAAAATAAATATTGAGGTGTTCTGCTTTTAAGTTCACTTTGGCATTTAATCAAACACTTAATTAGCTATTTGATCAAACCCCTTCAGCACTTCTTTCCCAATATCTTGTTTCAATAAATTAAAACAAAACAATTAATTAGCAAGCAATATAATGCCAATAAACATGAAAAAACAAGCTAAATATATTTACATTTGCTAGAAAGTAAGTCCGCAAGATACATATATAAATAGAGTCAAAGTAAACCTGGTCAATAAAATGCCAAGCCATGCTGTAAGAGAAGATCTCGAAGCTGTTACATGGATGACATTCGAAAATGCTATAAGAAATAGTCAATAGAGGAACTGGAACATTACAACTCATTTACCAGAAAATTACCAGCAAATGCTGAGAGCCTGTCACTGTCCTGAAAATATAAAGAAACATACAGTGAATCTTCACCCATATTTTGTCTAGTGAATCAAAAGTAGAGCTGGGAATTCATAGAGTTACATCAGGATGGAAATGAATGTTAGGAATTTAATCAAATACCTTGCGAACATCATGTTTGAAAAATATGAAGTTAAGCAAACAATCAATGATATTTTTTTCATGTCATGGTTCGCCAAAAGTGACTACGAGCAGATATGCTATCAATTTCATCAAATAAAAAAGAAAACAAATTGATTCACACATTTTTACCTTCTAAAATTTGAATATACTCTACTTGCTTCCAATTGAGAAAAATTTGTAAGAAAATCCTTCAAATTTAAGAAATATAAACGACAGAAAAAAAAATTTTAACGCTGAAAGACGGACGTTAGTTTACTGTAACGGTAAGTTAGTGGGTTATGGGTATAAACGGTAGTACCGAGTTAACGGTGAATTCATGGGCATTAAATTTAACAATGATATAACAAATGCATTATATTTACCGGTAAGATAACGAGGCGTTACATTAACGGTTTATAACGGCATTAAACGTAAGGACAATCTGACTAATGACGAAAATCAGCGGTGTAGATTAAGGCGTTAAGCCGTTAACCTGAAGGTGTGTTGATTTGACGATGAATTGACTGTCCTGATTTCAATGGACGGTAAACGTAACGGCATTTGACACATATTACAACTAACGTCTTTATAACGGACATTTACAGTGATTTAACGTCCATTAAATTTAACGGGCAATTAACTGAAAGTAAATTACTAAATTATAACATGATCCAAGGATTAACGTAACTGATATTCCGATGTCTATCCACTAAAAAAACATTAGTTGAAAATGATTACTAAGTGAGCCTCATAATGTCAGATAGGAATTTAATTAAAACTCTGCCAACATCATGTTTGAAAGCAAACATTTGTTTAAAAATAAATAACAGGTATTAAGTTGGAATCTTTTCTCGAATGCTAATAGAAGTAATCATTGAAGTTTTTATCTAATCCATAGTTTTAAGGTCGTAAGCGCTCATAAGCTGACCTATCATAAATTAAAAGAAAAAAAAAAAAAAAAAGATTTTCCATGGTTCTCCTAAAATCGACTACAATCCCATCTGTAGATCTGCTATCTGTTGGGACAAATTCAGATGCCCAAGGCCCAAAAATGACTGAAGAACATTTAATTAGGTATGATGGATTTGTTTCAGAGAGGAATTAGAAAGATGGGTTTAAGTTGGTACGATTTTGATGCTGGAAGAACAAAAGTCTTAGAAGAAATTACGAAATGAAACTCAAACCATCTTAACATCTCTGTTCAAAATTGCCGGGTTGGCGTTAATTGGGAGTTAGAATGTATGACAAAGAATTTTATCAAATGTGAATCTGACTTTGAATGATTTGTCATTGTCAATGATGTTTTACACACATCCAAATTCCACCAGAAGCTGGACCCAACTGTAGACATGATATATGGAAAAAAGTTGCTCCAGAAAATTGACTCTATGGGCTTATCTTGTATGTGTATGAAACCTGGCATTTTGCAAACATGTTCAACAGGAAGATTGTCTATGACAGCAACTTCCAAACTTTGAGTTTGACTGGAAAATAGAAACTGTTATGAGTCATTCAACTTTGCTGAACAAGTTATCTGTATATATATGAAAATTCCAGGAACTGTCACAAACACAGTCCATCATGGACCCTATGATACATTAAAGCTCCCAAGATTGCGATGTAATAGCAGAATTCTGGCTTATCTGATTATTTCCAACTGAAAACCTGTTGTGTTGCAATTGGCCATGAAAATTTTACCGTAACTCAAGACAATCGTGTTGAATGCCTTTCCAAGATTTTGGGACCATGAATGGCATGGTTTACGGGGGGAAATTAAAAGAATAACGCGTCTTAGAAAGTTCAAAGGATTGTGACGAGCCTGATGCTGAAAGTCCATTAATAACAATTACAGCTGTATTGCGCACAAGTAGTTCAAAGAAGTTAAGGAAATGCTTTTGGTGTTGACATTGATTAACAAACTTGATTATTTCCTTTAAAATCCTTCAAAATCATCGGTTCTGTCCGACCATAGTAAGAGATGTAAAAAGAAAAAATGGGAATGACTTAAAAGAAGAGCTCGGAAATGGTACTGTAGACACCGTGAAGTGACTCCGAAATAAGCTCTAGAATTGTTCAAGCTAAAAATCAATCCCAAACCATTCAGTAGAATTGCTCAGATTCTTTAGTCCTATACCCTTTTTCCAAGTCAAGCATGGATTCCCTTGAATATTCTCTCATGGTCAATTACTCCAATTGGATAGAAAGGTTAACCTATGAAATTATTCCAGTTTCTTTCAATTTCCTTATAATTAATGAACATTATTGTTGATGCGTGATTTTTGCACCAACGAAACGCACGTGTGAAATGCTGTGTTGACCCAGAAGACACACGTGAATGTAATGGATGAAGAGATAGTAAATGCAATGAGGACGGTTTTTAAAGTGGTTCGGATGCTAAGGTAGCAAGTCCTACATCCACTAATGCTTATATTGATGATAAAGGTCAGGTCGCTTTTAGCTGACTGACTTTACAATAATATTACAAGGTATTGAATGCTAAGAATTCTAGGAAAGAGAGGATAATTAATCAAGCGTAAAATGTGCTAATCCCTTTCAATGAGAGATGAGCTTCCAATTTATAGTGAGATGTAATGAGGCAATGATCACTAAATCTGTAAGTTGGTGGGATTATCCGTGCAAATCCTTCTTTATGTCACATTGCCAACCTTCCAGAGTGATTTGCGCGATTTAGAGCAGGGATTGAACACGTGGGAGCATCACAGCTCTTGACTAGCCTGACGCACACCCACTATCCTAACGGGAACAGGCAGTGGTTGTCCCAATGTTCTGACTTTTGTGGGCTGAGTGGACCTGACATCAGCCCTTATATTCTTTAGGCATAACAGAAGTCCCCTAGTTTTTAAGGTTTGAGAATTGAACCTTGGAAACTATAAGTCATGCCACAGCGGGATGATTTCTGGAAATTCTGGCCGGTTTGAAATTAGGTTGGGATGGCATTTTTATGAGCGCGACCTTGCATGTTCATTGTTTGCAGAGGGCGGGCGACCTAATCTCGTCTGACGTCACACGTTGTTCTGGTGATAGGGATGCATTTAATGAAGCAATCCCAGCGTTGACAGGTGTGTTTTTTGCGTGATGAATGACAGCCAATCGCATTTAATGCATTGCATGCTGGAATAGTGCACTTTACCAAAACATTAAATGCATTTTACGTTGGAACGACGCCCCTTATCAAAGCATTAAATGAGGATTTGAAACACAATTAATGCTCTGAGAGAGGTATGGCCGTCGTTTGAGCTTTTCAACTAGAAGGATGAAAGTTTGACTTTATCCAGTCGTTTCGTTCACCCTTCTCTGCTGATGAGTGACACGTGGTCGAGATCAACGGCAAGAAACCTTTGTCGCCCAAACGTCGTTTCGATTCCGGGAGGTCCAAACGCCGATTCACATGCTATAAAAACCTCAAATCGTTCTCAGGCAATGTCACCAGAGCCTTTTTCACAGAGAACAAAAGACTTTCATAAACCAGGAACCTTTGTCTTCCAAACCTGCATTTTTCCGGCATTTGAAGCAAAAACAGTCATCATACTCCGAGAGGTAAGAACTTCTCTACCATTGTTTCATTATTTTCATGAGTTAATGGCGTCAGTCTTTCGATAACCCATCGAAGACGAAACGTTTGCTTCGGGTTCGAGCCATGAATGGTGGCTCGAATCGGGATGTTAGGGTTTTCTTTGGGAATTGGGGAGTCTGTTTTCTCCCACATCATCGTACGAAATAGCGTACAGAGGCCAAATAACCATTCTGCTTGTCGCTTTTGCAGACTGGCAAAATGGACCCCTCAACAGCCAGATTCGAGCAGGGAACCAGCTTGTCCCCTCAAGGTGCTCCTAGCATCCCTCTCGAGGTTTTCTTGGTACTTACCGAGGAACAGCTCGAGAGGGTAATAAGCCAATACGGTATCGAGGTGGACGTTTTCCATGACCTGACGCATTCATTGCGATACCCGTCAAGCGGCCTGGCCACGATCTCCGAGGAGATTATCAAGGGTGGAGGACTTATCCCCCTACACCCTTTCATCAGGTCGTTTCTAGAATACTTCGGGGTCGTGCCAATGCAACTGACCCCGAACGCGTACGTCATTATTGTTGCAATGTACATCGCGTGCCAGGAAAACGAGCTGGGCGAGCTGACCGCCTTGAAGCTCGGTTGCTCATATTTTCTGAAAAAGAGCAAGGACAAGGACTCATATTACTTGTCCAGGCGACCAACCATTGTCGACGGGATACACAGTTATCCCAACAACGCGGGGGCCTACGAAACGAAGTTTTTCTTCTTTCGTTACGATGGCCATTGCCACTTCCAGGAACCGAGTATGCCTCTTTCTCTTCGTTTGCATTTTCGCTTTGTTTCGGCGAACTCATTGTGTTCGAAGCGTGTCCGTTCTAACGACCTGATTTTTTGTTTTTGATAGTTAACAAAATGACCGAAATAGGCTGCTCCACGATAAGAGAAGAATCCTACACTTCGGTTCCCTACCCGAGGACAAGCGCAACGCAAAGAAACTTGTGACGACCGTAAATTTGTGAAAATACGGTTTCTTTAACACAAACGCGTCGTTAAAGCCTCCACCAAGTAAGCTCTGCTAACCGATTCTCTTCCTAGTAGTGGAATAAAATGCTTTCACTAACGTTGTCTTGTATGTAGCAACCATGCCATCGAAGGAGCTAGAGCAGCCTCGGCGAAGGCCTCTTAATTTTCCTCGGTCGAAGAAAGCTAAGGCAGCCGAAGCTGCTCAAACCGTCCCCTCGGCTGAGGGCGCGACCTCTGGCCAACCAGTGCGACCTTCCGAAACTTCTCAGCAGTCGCCGGCGAAAGACGCGCCAATGCGAACCACGAAGGTCTCCCAGCCATCGCCTGCTTGCCCAAGGATGAAAACAATGGCTCAGCGAAAGAAGAGGAGGCAAATTCAGGTCGAGGAGTCAGAGACCGAATCTGAGGGCGAGTAGCTAAAGAGGTTGAAGAAGGATGTTGGAAGGAGGTCGGGCAAGGAACTGATGGTCGACGCAGCCGCTACTGAAGGCGCAAAGAAGGATACCCTAGTGTTGGACTCGCTGGGGAACCTTCCGGAGTACCTGTAAGCGGTGGTTTATACCTTACTGGAATGCGGACTCTCGGAATCATTTGAATAGTTCACAAATTTCAACGACGTCAACCTGATGTCCACATCGGTCCATCATTTAAGCA